TCAAACATAATATTAAAAATATTAAAATTAGTAATTTATTAATTTAATAATTTAAGTTATAAATTATAAAATAAAGTTATTGATCTAAAAATGTCAACTACTTATATTAAATATACTACAAACGATAACCATTATTTTCAAGTACAAATATAATATTTCGTATTATTTACAATTGGGCGTTCTAGATGACTGCATACAATGGACAAGGTATAACGTTTGACGTTTAAGAATAGGCTGATTTGCATGCTGAAAAACTAATATAAAGTTTTCATGCGTGTATACTAGCTGAATAACCCGCCAACGTAGGTAATAAAACGTAAAATTATTAAAATGTCCCGCCTAAGAAATGGTAGATACCTACCTAAATTAAAAAATATGTGCTCCCTCTCTCCTTATAGTCAAAACTAGAAACAGAGCAATGATATGACATCAGTGGAACTTGTGGAATAATGGGGGAAGGGGTGTTTGCAGCAACTATCTGTAAAAAAAAAAAAAATTGTGGAATTATACATATACCTCGCCGAAAAACATGAACACTGAAATACAATGTGTGCCATCTCCTCCCCTCCTCACGCCTGGCCAAATATGGGAAACGCAGTGATGATGTGACATCTGGAGAAGGAAGGAGAGTATTTACAACAACTCGATAAAAAATTCGCCGAATTATTCAAATGCCCCTCCGAAAACCTGAACATTGAAATACAACATGCCCTCCCGTCCCCTACCCTTACAGAAACGAAAAAAAAAATGGTGATGATGTGACAATTGAGTGGGCCGGCCGGTGACAACAGCGTGGAAAAATTCGTGAAGTTATTCAAAAGTTCTGCTAGAAAGTTTGGAAAACTAAAATATACAATGTGCACCCCCCTACGCCTTCTCTTGGCCAAACACGGGGAAATGGACACCGTGAGAAAAGCTCTCGGAGTACTCGGGCACAGCTCTCTGTAGTAACCGTATCATATTTGTATGCACGTTATACCTATATATTAAATCAAAAAAATAATATTGTGGTCACCGCGAGCTTTGGTGTGCTCCGCTATAAATTTTGCGACGCCCTCGGAACATGTATACACGACGGCACAAATTAGCTAATGGCCGTGCTTCTATAATTTGATGTTTTTCAATTACCTTATATACTACAACTACTACTACTACTACTATACAACAGAACTTAGGAGTAGCCCGCAGTACGGGGTCGGCGGTTAGGGTTTGGGGGTAGTGTACGCGCATTTTCGACGGTTCCGTGTGGGTGTATAGTCGTACGCGGGACGTGACCGAAATAATTTTATTACTCGTTTGTTTTAAGAAAGCCAAAATGAGATTTTATACACGGCGGCAAGCTATATAGGACACACACACACACACAAACAGATTAACAGATTATATCAAGTAAGGCTTCCACATTACGGTCTGCAGTCTGTATGTACTACAACTGTATAAATCATTTGATATCTATACCTACGTTTTACGACGGGTCGGTTGATTAATTATTTGTTTCTTTTTCAATTAATCCCGGAGCACTGAATCTGAATAACGCGGCGAATTATATGTACACAGCAAATAACACAGCGAATGTTTTCCGTATTGATGTTTACAGTATTATATTGAAAAGCATCGCCGACCCAAACTGTATATATTAGATATTATACATATTATAAAGGTATACTATAACATCGTATTGTAGGTAACGCGTATAGGTATCAATATAGTTACATTCGTCGGGTAATGTGTTATTAACTCTAAAATTTCATAGTCTGATTAATTTTCATGTGTTTTCATTCATTGGAAAATGTGATTGCATTACCCGTCGGCGATTTTATTTCAAAACTTAAGCAATATTTTTGAGTTTGAACAGATGATTTTTATTTCGTTTAAACTATAAGTGTATGATTGATGTCACGCAAATATTTGCCTGACCAACAACATATTTTCATTTGGATTTCGTCGTATCTTCGTCGTATATAAACCGTTTAAAGTTTGTGCGTTTCTTCTTCTTGTATTGTTAAACTTTGGACGTTCGTTATTGTGATACGAGTATCGAAGTATGCACTATAATAAGATTCCGATACCTCCTACGAGGGGAGTAAAAGCAATTCTACTAATACTGTTGTAGTAACATTGTGTTTTAGAAAGTTCTATAGACATACTTAACTACACATTGTTTTTCAAATAACGGTTTGTGTTTAACAATTACATTTTAGCTACGAACGCACATACGTTAAGTAACAACCTTAACATTGAGTTAACATATTATTATATTTCAAAACGAATTTAAACATTTAATTATCTTATATACACAATGTAATCAATATTATATTGTTTTGTTAAAACCCAAAAAATTTTGCATCGCCTTATGCTCTAGAGCAGGGGTCTCCAAACTTTTTTATTCAAGGGCCACAAAAAAATCAAATGCTCTTAGCGGGCCAAAAGTTTATTAACACATATAATTTTTAATTTTATGATAATATAGGTACCTACCTATATAAATAATATGTTTACTTTATATTTTTGTATAAAATATTGTTTACTTTACAATATACTTAAATAAAAATAAATAGGTATAAATATAATATAATATAAATACATTTTTGAAATAATTTTTTTATCTATATTTACATATGCGGGCCACGGGCCGGTTAAAACTTGTTGGCGGGCCGTATCCGGCCCGCGGGCCGTAGTTTGGAGACCCCTGCTCTAGAGTCCAGCTACAACGTCGTAATATATTTGACGCCAATATGTCGATTTTCTAAATATTATGCGGTAGGTACATAACTTTCGTCATTATTAAAAATAATAAAACAACTGAGTACAACTTCCTAATGCGTTCTAGCTGCTCAATGAGATTTGATTAAAAATACATTTCTATGTTTTTGGTAATGACTCTAACTGGAGAGAGAACATTATAATTGGATTCCGTTTGCGAACCAGTAGAATTTTGTATCACTCTACTTTTTGTCATATAGTTCTTGACTAAAAGCAAGAACGCGTAGGAACGTCAACCTTGCAATGGGTGAGAAATGTCATTTTTCGTTTTCGCCCGTCTTTCCACGAATCCACATTTCGTAACTCACCTTTCAACATTCCTCTTCTTATATTATATATTTTCCTCGTCCTTGTTATTTGTCTTTTTAATTTTCCTACAGTTCTATCGCGTTTGGTCCCTTCGTCGTACCATTCGCATGTGAAGTTTGTTTTTCATTTTAAATGTTAAACGAATCTCATATTGTCTAACTTCGTATTATGTTCGCCTGCAGTCACCACAGTGACGTATTTCTGCGCAGCAGTGATTTAAAATATAACCGTTTCGCACTGCGATCGGAGATTGGAATAGTGTCACGTCGTCGTTCCATTTGAACATTCCCGAAAAGTCCATTTACAATTTTAATGGTGCGAAATGACAGTTTGAAGCGTATTTGCGTATTTATAACAATTGTCCGTGCTTGTGTACAACAGAGTAATACGTCGATACATATCACCACCGCCACCATTCCACCAGCCGTTTGGAGGGCCTCAATGCAATTTTTCGTAATATCATTTCTGTATTGAGCAAATGTATTTAGTGCGTAATCATATTGAATAATATATTTTTGAATTTGTCACGGTTATTTATTTGTTTAATTGACAAACTAAATTAATGGGTGGTAAAACGATCCCTAAAAGTTCAATGAGTTATTCAATCGAATACCAGTTTCACAAAAGTTAAATTATTTTTTACACTTGCTAATACGATTTGTGAGTTTTGTGAACTGTTCGGATCAGAAAGTGATTTTAATTTTAAACAATGACCATTATTATTCATCGTGTTTAATACGTATTAATCGTTATGCGATTTAAGTTATTTAACATCATATTCAGGCAATTAGATATTCGATTGAACGCATGTGTAAATAATATATTGTATAGATCTGAATCGTTATAATTTTATGAAATATAATTATATTTCTATCGTGATGTACAGCTGGTGTAGAGATGACTAAGTACAGATACCTTCTTATTAGGTATTACAATAAACCGCGGTGGCGTATCAAAATCATTACGAGAAAAATATTTATATATATAATATTTTGAATAAACATTGAACAACAATACTTTTAAAAAACCGTTCGTATCTCGCCACAGATGCTATTGTGATGCTCTTAATATTAGTTATAATATTGAGTATAGTATACAGTATTCTCGAGGTTAAGGGACAAAGCTTTAACCATAGGCTGTGGCCTATGTTTTTTTTGACACCAAACACCGAAACACAATTGAAATATATTGTTCGAATGTTCCGGGATTTACAGTAGGTATATGTAATCTCCGCTCTCTAACAAAACATGACTCGATGAAAGTTCCTTTTTTGTTTTCCGTAAAAAAGTTTACGTACATAAATATTATTATTTCACATTTTCCATTAATAAATCTAAAAAAGTCCAACAAATGCATGCACGCGTACCAACTACTATACATACTTCAGAGTTTGTACGTATGTCCCACGGCGATATGCAATACTTTTCTTTGGAAATGTTTGTTCATCGTACATAAAATATGTATGGTTTCGACCACTGGCATAAGTGCCGACATAAAATAACACAAAGGTGCGGACACCGAGAACCGTAGGTAGGTATGCGAAACGTTTAAAAAGGATTGTTTTTTATTTTAAGACTTTAATATGAATGTTGTTATCTTATAATTTTGTTTTTACCCACTGTGATCCGAGCGAATGCTTATACAATTTAAAAACGTTCAAATACAGAGCCATGCCAAAGCCATTGGTAAAGTTCCTTAGGGCGGCAAATGTTTAAATAGTCATATTATGTTTAACAGGGGTGCCAAATATTATTGCCCTGGGGTGTCCCACGGCACTGGTAAAATAGGTACCTACGTTTATTTCAAAACATATTATAAAAATGAATGATTACAACAACGGTAACGCTTTCTTATAGTATATATTTAGACTTAATACCACCCACCGAGTGTTTAATATCCACATAGTATTTCAAGTATGCCTACCAAAAATGGCACTCAACATATTATGTCGTCCAAAGATAAAAAATAATTTAAAAAAAAAACACTGTTTTCGTTTTGTTTCCAGGCACAGTTGTTGTGACCCCGCTCCGACCGTGCTCTCGGGCGCCGGCATATGTCTGATAGTATTGGGCTATACGATGTTCGGAGCTTTCACGTTCATGACGTTGGAAAACGGCGGCCGGGACAGCGTGCAATCGATCCGGGGCGGTCAGCAGCAGCACCCACAGCCCCAGCCACAGACCCAGCAACAGCAGCAACAGCAACAGCAGCACAGCCAACCGCAGCAGCATCAGCAACAGCAACAGCAACAGCAGCACCAGCAGCAGTCGCAGTACCAGCTGGCCAGGAACGACAAGCTCAGGGCGCAGACGGTCGAGAAGCTGTGGAAGATCACCGAAGACCTGAACATCCTATACCGGGACAACTGGACCAGGCTGGCCGAAGAGGAGATCCTCAAGTTCCAGGACTCGTTGATCAGGAAATACGGGGGTCCCAACCAGACCGACCGAAGGCACCGGTGGAACTTCGCGTCGTCGTTCCTGTATTCGTTGACGTTGATCACCACTATCGGTAAGTCCAATATCGTGTGCCATAAAAACCATGAAAAAAATATTTAGGTAATCTAAGTACACCGCCTCCACCACCGTGTAACCACGAAAAAAAAATGTACTTCCCTAGAACAGAAAAAACTCTACTTCATTTACATATGAAAAATTAAAGTCTATAACTAATCAATATCCACCTAAATGGTCCTATTTAAGCATGATATATGTTGTGGCCCATGTTCAAATCGTAGTGAACCATTAAACTAATCAATTTTTTTTAATACAACTTGGCACAAATATTATTTAATCAAATTAGATAACATACAAATACGTTTGTACGTTTCATGTACATATAATACAATAACTGTCTGCAGCATAAACATATTATTATAAAAGGTTGGTCGGGTAGTAGGTACACAGTGAACGAAATATTATAGTTATTGAAAAATAAATATATATTTGAAAATTGAGTTGCATATACGCAGTCACAATGATGTTATTCGAATATAATTTTATTCATACATCGATTGACTGATTTATTAATTATACCACTATTTGCTATACTGCTATAGTACTGACATGGAACAAAATAATTGAAAAATATCATGTCATTTCACGAAGGAAAATGGAATTGGTTTTTTCGGATGAATGCTATATAATATTCCTTTTACGTGCTTCGATTTAATACGGTTTTCGTATTTTTTTTTTTACACTTCGGAACCTAAAAACGCCAAACGATTAGGTATATTATTTGTTTTGACGTTAACTCTTGAAATTTTCCGTCGCGAATTTCAAAGCATATATCTTAGTGTATATAAGGCAGACGAAAACCAATTAAAATTAAATATTCCGTGTGTTAAATTTGCTATTAAAACTTAATCTTTCGGTAACGAGTTATGTCAGCGACAACGTGTTTTTCGTCATAATTATATTCCAAACAAGTTGCGGAGGTAAAGTAACATTTTAACGTTCATTCTAAACAATGTCAAGTGACTCGTTTGTAAAATAGTGGGTACCTACATAAAACGTGGTTTGCATATAATGTACATTTATAATAATTATACAGAAGTGATATTGTACGTAAATGGGTAAATTATTTTATGCTTTAGGTTTTTACCATATTTTGCGACCGTGTTGAAATATTATTATGAAGGTGTACACGCGCGTTTTACTTTCACCGACACGTGTCAAATCTTTGGAAGCTTTTACGGTGTCAGCTCGCCGTTGATAAATTATTAATTAAACCGAAAGATGTCCCCTTTCACTGTAGAGTGCTACGAATTAAAATATTTTAATGGATAAGGAACAATTTGACAAACTATATCGCATGTGTTTATTGATCATTTAAATCCAGTATACTATTGTGTAAATAAGGGGCGGGTTTTAACCTTTGCAAGCTATATAAAAGGGAGATAAACTCAGATTCAAAAGTTAACATTTTATATCCAACGTCCACGATAATTGTTATCCATAAAATATGTTTTTCAATTTGAATTTTAAGAAATAATGAAAAAATATGTTTTAGGAATCACTCATAAGTATTAAATTATTTATTTATATGAGGCAAGTACCTACCTATGTATTTGTAAAAATCATATTACCCAAGACTTATTTTTACATAGAGAAATAATCACCTAATAGACCCTTATATAAGTAAGCACTTGTTATTGTGGCAGAACTAAACCAATTTTTTAATAGTTTCAATCATTCTACACATATCTAAATAGTATTAAATATTAAATTAAAATAAGGAAACTGAAAATGAATTAAAAAATAGTTCTTAATTCATACCATCGACTTTAGTTTTATTCTTTAATGACGATCCGACACCATAATTTTACATAATAAAGTTTATAACATCTATGGCTAAAACATAATTTCAATATTTAAATAAAATACTATAGCTTGTGCCAAGGTGGCGGAGAGAGGGCCTATCACCACCATCACCACTAATGCAAATCATAATATTACGAGCATCTTTGTTATAAAATTTCGAAAACCATGTCTCATAAACAGGTAATCTTGGTCATATTATACGAGTAGGACAGTGTATAAAATACACATACACGTATTATAAAATATAATATATTATGTAGGTATATTAAAGATTTAATTACGTGATGGAATTGCATACCTTCTTGCTTGCGCATGGTTATTGGCAATTATGAAATGGAATAAGCGTGTGTGTTTGTCAGACAAACTGCCGTCCCTTGGAATACATAATTTTAATTATCAATTATACTCCGTTTTGATTGGTCACAACTCTCAAGGTTTTCAAACAAGTCCATTGTGTATCGTATCGTGATCCGAATGGAAGAACCTACCGCGACGAAATAACAATAATTTATCAAACTGCAAAGTAAAATTTTAATCAAAGGAATACCACAGACATTTTAATATTATGTGTATACTTCAACGCTAATTAATGCCTTGATATTGATTAGATTTACTAAGCAATGTTCGTATAATAACTGCTACTAAGTAGACCACATTGGTGTGTAAAATACAGAAGTATATATTATAAATGACTATTCGTATTGACACGGTTTTACTGTTGTGCTTAAAATGCGTAATTTCCAATCATAATCTCGAGGTAAGCATAGTTTTCCCGGAAATGACACTTGTAAATTATATTTTTATTTATTAAAATGCCCAATGTGTATATAGCTCTGTAAGTCAGAGCTTAAGCTATCAAATTATAAAAGCTAACCTCTATTGAAACTGATTTAAAGCTGAAAAGTAATATTTTTTTATTTTTTTTAATATTTAATAAAGTTAAATATTTTCTGAATAGGAGGGTCACATTGCATTCAAATGAATAACGAAAATTATGTAAATAAGCAATATGAAAAGTAATTTAGTATTAATATAATGAGCACAATATAATAATATAATTATTACTTGTGCATACGTCTTGTTAAAAACACTTTTCAAAAGTATTTAAAAGTAGTTACGTACAAATATCTACTCAAAAAGCATTTAAAATATTTTCAAAAACTTTAATTTTTTTTTCACATTTTCTGGTCTATTTTAGGTTTTTTATTCATAGATCTGAATTAAAGTAAAGTGATAATTTATAAAATAGGTAAATGTATACAATTTATAGGTACATAAACGCTAAAACTAATTAGGTATAGTTATTATACTTAGATATTTAGTATAATAGTTATTTAAAAAACAAAAATATATAGTAGGTACTATCTTCTTGTTGTATCTTACTATAAATGTTGTAATTATATGCAGAATGACTAATGATAAATGTATTAAATCTTCATGGATATAATATTTTACAAATTATTTTGTACTAAATATTTTTAAGTAGGTACAAAATATAAAAATAATTATTTTAAATGTATTAAAAATTAAATACTTAACAATATTATTATATACTTGTGTATAAATAAACTCACTAACCTAAATATTTTAAATCCTATGCTAACTCGTACCTATATCTATTGTTTTTAAATTACTTTTCTGTAGGTAAGTAGACTCATTCGGTCATAATAGTGAATTAACAATGTCTAAATTTGTCTAAAAACTTTAGTCTAAATTGGAAAAAACCATACATTTATTCAAAATTAAATCCAATTAGATATTCGTCTTTTAGATAGGTATTTAGCTGATGTTTTTTATTATGGTTTCCTTAAGTATACGATTTCTACAACCGTCAAACATTTTCCAAGAAGTCCATGCAAACGTAAGAAAAACTTCTTTTAAAAGAAAATTTCGAATGGAATTTAATTTATCACTGCTTTGTGTTTTATAATGAATATACTACATTATAATATATTATTAAACTGCTATCTTTCGACAGAGCAAATTTGATCGGTTATAATTAATAAAAATATTAACTTTATAGGTTTATAATAAATTGTTACTGTCTTAAGTATAATTTAATTTAAATTACTTCAAAGTACAACGTAACTTATCAATATTTCTTTGCCTATGTTGGAGGAATTATTACTGACTTAAACCATTGTATCAATAAGGTTTCAGTTAATACTTATAATCATTATAAAGAAATTGAGACTTCAATATTACTACAATATTGTATACAAATTTTCTGCAATATTAATAGATAATATATTATAGTCGTATGAATTATATTTATTACTCGTTAATGCTTAGACAGGTATATCAATACAAGGTAAATAAAAAAATGATCCACTAATTACAGTCAGGAAAATATTAAGTTTCAAATATTATTATGGTTTTACTCACATAAATATTCAAGTTACCAAATCGTTTTTATTATAAATGACCCATCTGAAAATGTTTAAGTTTTAACCCCTTTTTATCGCTATAGCTATAATATCATAATTACTATAAACCTCCGAAAACTCTACACCATAATAAGTACCATTCTTTTCCAATTTATGAGATTTAGAAGTAGGATTATAATAATATTATATTGTATTATTGTGTAGGTACTACACTATTAAACTCTTAAAACACTCTTTTCTAGACAATGTGATAACTATAATTTCTAGTGCAGTGCATCACTGATATTATAATATCACCTATATGGCACCTATATACATTTTTCGGTTTAGAACTCGAAGTTAGGAGATTATATAAGAGTATAAATCTTAATAGATAACTAAATCAAAACAACCTTGGAACATTATATGCACTTTAAATGATTTCAGCTCGAGAAATAAACAACGTCAAACATAATATTTATGCAGCCTCTGCAGCAAACGCTGTAATAATTATTTTTTCTCGGATATAATTTAGTATATATTATTATTGCCAGCCCAAAATTATTCAGATCGTTCAACCAGTAATTTCGATTCGTATATTATGTAACTCAGCGTACCGTCAAACTCAGCGATGTATGTTTAAATAATATTGTGATGCTGAAAAAACAGATTTTTTTTCTCGTTTATTTGTTTGGCGGAGGCGGTGAAAAGAAAAACGTTACTCGACCTTATGGAAATATACTCGAGTGTATACATCATTCGGGTATCTCCGCTGCGAGACGACGCTTTTCTATATTATAATCTACATTTTTCTCCCTCTCTCAAGACTCAAACTCGAGTGTATTCAAAGTGCAGTATACATTATATAAG